AGAGAGAGAGAGAGAGAGAGAGAGAGAGAGAGAGAGAGAGAGAGAGAGAGAGAGAGAGAGAGAGACTACTTCCATTGATAGGATGAGCATAATCAGATGAATCGTCTGCTAGAACATGGAAATATATACAGTACTACACTCATATCATGGTCACCTTCCCCTCTCTCATGGTCGGGCATCGTACCAGAACGCAAGTCACACTCCTTCGCCGCCTTACCAACAAGTCAAATGTAACTTCGTCAACATACACTGTTAGAAACCTTCAGTACGCTACAGCATTCATTGCTCACACATAACCCAGCTTCATGACCCAGGCCAGTTCACATGTGCCTTCGCAGGTATAGATTAGGAGATCACAACATCAATGAGATGTACAATCCCCGCACAAAATGTGCGGCAATGAAAATTGTATGATGAATGATTACAATAGAACACAATCCCAGAGGGATATGGCTTCCCCGACCGGTTTTGGCCACTGCCTTCTGGTCTCCTCAGGAGGATTACACACCATAATTTCCCCACAAACCCAACTTCCGCTAACCCACCTCCACCTCTTCTCGCCTACCGTACCACTACACATTCATCAGGTCTACAAAACAATGAGACACCACAGGCATACTTGTGAAGTCGGACCCTGGAACCGCTGGTACCATGGTACCTACAAAATACCGACCGGATTGGTCCTCCCGGATTGCACTCATATACCCAAATCAGGCAGCCGGTCTTTCAGACCTGCAGAAAACTCACGTCAGACATCTAGAACCCAAAATAACCTTCAACGTTCAAACATAAAATGAAATATTGTCACCCTCAACCGAGCCCTGTCACACACCAAACGCTCCGTCCTCAGGGTCACATCAAAATTCTTTACCTTCTTTTTTTTTTTTTTTTTGGCCCAGCTGGGCAAATGGCCCCAGGCCACTCTGGTAGCCTAGTTTTTTCCAGCAGTTTGCTTTTCAACGGATAATCATATTCGGAAGCAATGGCTTCTAGGTACTGGCACTGTCACTTCACAACAGGCTATGGATTTCGAACCTACTACAAAAAGTAGTGGTGTTAACCGGACCAGGTTCACAGGGGAACAAATAATCATATTCGGAAGCAATGGCTTCTACGTGCTGGCACTGTCACTTTACAACAGGCTATGGATTTGGGACCTAGTGGTGTTAACTGGACCAGGTTCACAGGGGCCCTGAGATTTACAAAAAGCAGCATCCTACTATGCTCATGACAGTGTAGAATTTGGACGTTGCCATAGGTACACGAGGAGATTGTTAGGAAACTTAGGATCGTCATTGTGTTCTTAAACATTGAAGAAGTGAGACGAAGTCTTAAAATCAGTCCCGACATCCTAGGCATCTTCTTTGACAAGCAGTGTGAGGTGTGTGGCGGCCAATCGTCTGTGCAGGGATCCCTGGGGGCATTATTCTTGGCTATGCTGATGGCCCGAGAGCAACCAATGTGACCCAAGGAGTCATCGTTAGATCTGCGCAATGTCTCTACCACCCAATATGGAAGGCACTTATCTGCGGGCCCGAGCCATACACAGCGGTGAGTTTTCCAATGACTGTTTGTCCTACACTTTGGGAGACTAGGCGGTGATGTATTGGATCATGCAATTGTAAAAAGCCAACAATGCGTCTCCATCTGCTTGCATTGCCGCCATATTTTTTGTTTTTCTGATAACTTAGTTGCTTTCTCTGCACCCTGTCCCACATACCTCCTCCATCTGTTCTTGATTTCTCTGTCAGGATCTTCAGTTTTGTCCTACCGACTCTACTGGATGACACAGTCCCATGTCACAGTCCATAAATTTGCTAGAATACCTTGCTGCCCCCCCCGCAAAGTTTGCAGTAAGTGATTCATCAACAGAGTGCTAATACGCACGAAAACATGCTGCATACTTGGACTGGGTCTGTAGTGTAGAGGGAGGACAAAAGTGCCCGCCTATTGTACCTGTTGCCAGTCCAGTTAGTAAAATATGTAACTCAAGTTTCGCATATTCTGAAGCGCAAAGAAAAGTGTCTACATGCATGAATCGAAACAATTATCTGGAAATTCATGCAGTTGAAGCGCGAGTTTCAAAGTGATCAGAAAACAGGACTCTGCGCCTTCAATTTGGATCAATGCAAGCACGCAATAATTCCTGTCATCTACACCTTTCTCGGCCTTTTGGCTAAGATCAAGTGTAGTATCTGTTCTGATCAGTTTAATATCTGATCCGTAGTCCATTGGGCCACAATATAAAAAAAAAAACTAATAATATATTAATAATAATAATTACCGTCATCTTCTTTTGTCTTGACACAAACAGTGGTCCTGTAAGCTCTTCAAAGTTCAAACCTCGTTGGAGCACATACCTCTCATTCTTGGGTGTGGTTGCACATAACATCCATGTGCTGGAGACTGAAAAGCCTTCAGGACACAGCCTATATAGTCCCACTCATTTTACCTTGATTTTTTGATTTTTGATTTTTGATTTTTTTCAAAGCTGGGATCCGGGCCGCCTGGGTGACTGGCAGAGGCCCGGGGGAGGTCCCGGGCGGCCTGGCCGGGCGGGGCACCCGGTTGGCGGCCGGGCCCCCCTAGCGCACTTTTTTTCTTTTTTTTTTTACCTGTCAGTGTGTGTTGTCGTGTGTGTGTGTGTTGAGACAAACAAAACCCCGCAAACGCGGCGAGCAGCGTAACAAGAAATGCATACACGAATGCCTAGGAAGGGAAAGCACCAACTTCGCACGAGACAATCCATACTCAGATTGATAACACAAATTGCAATTGCTTGGTCTGAATAACGACAAGGGACCCATGAGCAGTTCCGTATGGATATTACACGTTAAAGAGAAAAAAATCATCAAGCATAATTCACAACTTATTGCATCCATTCTTAACACACTGAAGGAGACGTGACTCAATTACACAAATTTGCCGCCCTTCACCATCCATCTTATCACAAGTTTTATTAAGAGTAAACAAGCACGTGACCTTTCCTCATTACAAAATCACTGCCTTCGAACCAATCCCATTATTCACCTATCGCTGACAAGGAATACTGCACAACAAACCTTAAGTCTACATCCTATAACAACACCAACTACGAGAGAAGTAAACACCAACGTTAGCGTGGTAACTAGCCAGGGCCAACACGCATCCACTATTGTCCTTGGGAGTGCAGGCCACGGTTCGATGGCAGGGCAGAAGGAAACAAACATTGGCGAGTGCACAAGTGTCCAGAAAGTGGGCCAGAGTAACACCTGTCTCTTATACACATCTAGATGTGTATAAGAGACAGGTGCACAAGTGTCCAGAAAGTGGGCCAGAGTAACACGACCATGCTGAAGAAAAGGGATGTGAGAGCAAGCACAAAACATTGCCAACCAAAAATCACAACCGCCATGCTGCTTGATGAGGGGGGCCTTCAACACGCACGTCACGCTTCGTTTAAGCAGATCAAGATGCTCTACGACTGCTTGCGCCAGTTATTACACGCCATCACATCATCGTCTCCACTAGACAGCAATAAACCGCCAACCATACGCACGATAACAGATCTGCAATCACCCCTGCACAGTAGCATCGATAAGAAGCGAAYCTATGCCCTTCGAGCAACGTGATCCTTCGACAGRTGAGATTTCAATCGAGATACGGGAGATAGCAAGCCAAAGGATGAGAACCTCCAGCATACTAGTACTCTACAGCCATTGACGGACTTGTYGTGCTATAGCGACATCGTGCGTTCGTAGCAGAAGGGAACACAGATCCCTAGCACACGCAGAGACAATGCACTCAATACTCCCCATCCTTCACGCCTTGCAGAACCTTGGCGTAGGGATACGATCAGAACAATTCAGTACTTCAGTCCGGAGGGGACCRCAATGGCAGCATCGATGTTCTAGAAGCGCCAGCATCGATAAAAACGACAGGTAGGCAATCRTGGCGAGAACCAAACAGATGGACAACCATGCAGAATCCATACTTCATCCAGCGACTCGCATCCGCATCAGAACTTCACTCCGATTCTCGCTGAACAAGGWCCTACATCTTATCACAAATAAAGACCACATACACACAGAGGCGGAGCAAACAACACATGCAGAAAACACCATTTATACACAAAAAAATTGTTACATACTCAGATAGCCTTTTCAACAAACACCACCACGAGAATTCCAACTCAAGACTCAGGCGTCCCTTTTTCAGTCAAGCGGCTCTTATTAGCCGGCAATTGGAGGGAGGGCAGTGGGTGTAACCCTAAAGTRCTTTTCACCGGTACCCACTAAACCGGATCTTCAGAGGAAAAASAACCCCCTCTCAATATGCTCCGAAAAGGGACAGTGAAACCATGAAGGCGACATAGACTCGTATACAGAGACTATCACCCTCAGGCGACTCATGGTATGAGGTAAGGTGGGAGTAATGGGGAAGAGGTGAGGTATCCGGGGAACACTTAGTCATTACCCTGCCAGCATCCATGATCAGAGTTCCTTTGTAGACTCCGTAGCACGAAAGAACCAAGCCTCTCCTTTGCTCACGATGCCAGCGTCAGTCCCCAAGCACGCCAGGACTCCTCACGCGAATCAATAGGGCATGTACCATGCGGATGCGCCTACATACGCCAGTACACCTTTACCACCACCATTCTATCATGCCAGCACACCAATCCCTCAAGCATGCACTCYYCCGGGCACTAGAGGGCGTTAATTACCCCGCATTTCGCCAGGTCAGCRACACTACCATGATCCTCGTCAGTACACCATCTCACAGCAAACCATGCTCCTCCTCGTCCTGTAGCCACGTCACCCTACTCTCTCATAGACCATCACCAACAATGAACAGTTCCACTCCGAACATCGAGGAACGCCTCCCACCATTCACTCCGCCTGTTGCCACGTCACCCTTTTCGCCCGCAGATTGCTCGCACTACCAACTCCTCCTCACACCAGGCTCCCGAAAACAACTCTCACCGGTGTCTCAGCAGCAGCGCGGAGTGACTATCAGTCAGGGGGTTACCGGGGCAATCRGCAAGAGTAGGAGTAATCCTACGCKAGCAATTGCGCCGGCAGCCGAAGAGGATTMACTCATTCCTCCGYGGATGCCTTTATAGGTCCGTCGGTAGAATAGTAGTAACGTCACCGAGTAAGTCGGGTAGGTAAATAGCTGGGGCTTTTTTGCAAACATTTTCTCAAGACAGGCCTATATGGGGTAGTACCGACGRCAAAAGCATTTCCCATCRTTACRGGGGTTAGTTTTGGAACCAACAGGGGTTAAGGGAAGTACTTTACCTAGTGCAGACCATGGTACCGCAAAAAAAAACSGACCCTTATTAGTGCCGTGGTCCAAGAGTTCACTTAGAGGTCCAAAGGATGGCCTGGTTTAACCAACTATTCAGTTGTCGGCCTGTAAAAACTGAGCATTCGTGTGTGTGTGTGTGTGTGTGTGTGTGTGTGTGTGTGTGTGTGTGTGTGTGTGTGCCCCACCCCTGTCCTCGCTAGAGGTAAGCTTGCTATGGCAGGTAGTAGGTACCTGCCATAGGCAAGGTACCTACTAGCAACCATAGCAGCCCTACTGGTTAGGGGCTCGACTATGACACACAAAACCATCACAGACAAACATACAGGCTCTTTCAGGCAAAAGTTAACAGGGCAGCAGAATGAGAAATTACCTCGAGGATCAATCTTGTCTCCACGACGTCGACCCTGGGAGGGAGGAATAGTTGAGGATTGTCAAGGACCCTTTTCACACACGCCATGCATCTGTGGCGGACAAATCCATTGTCGACCATGTATCCAACAATTCTCATAATCTCCCGAGCTGCATTTGCTGGATCAGAGCAGATGACAAGAAGCTTTGCCACTTGCGCAATGATGATATTCAACGACTGCTGTACATGCCTGTTCGACTGGAACTTCACGTACCTTATGACTGGGAAGGGAAGGGCGAGCCTCTTGTCAAACTTACCAGTTATGTACTGACCAGTCTCACAGGACAGAACCGTGATCTCGGAGTCCAGGAACTGGGTTTTGAGACCATAGATTTCATTATTAGGGCCCCGTGTGAACACCTCCGTCTGATTCTTTATCTCAATCAGGTGTAGAGGGTACAAGTAGAACGGGTTATCATTCACCCTCGGGCTATCTGGGTCGAGAAAATTCAAGATCATGGGATTATTCAAGACATGTAGGTCGTCAATGTACCTGAACGTGTCCCTGAATAGCGGAAGAAGATGGTAGGCTTTGAGGTCAATTAGTCTCATTATGAATTGGTGCTCATATTTAAAGAAGTAAACTGTACACCAAACCGGGGAACAAGGGAGGCCCATGGGGATGCCTAGGGTCTGTTTCCAGATTTTCCCTCCAAACATGGTAAAACACCTTGCTAGCAACCATGTGGTAACGGAGCCCACTTCACACATCTCTATGTAAAAAACATGCTCATTCTGCGTAGCACCTCGGCGGTTGGTGATAGAACACACAAATTTTCTCCCCAGAACACTTCCTACACTTAATGAAAGTGCCTAGATCCCTTCTACGCATATACTAAGATGCAAGATCGAT